AGCAGGCTGATCGAGCGGCAAAGGATGCTGCTTCTGCTCCTCTAATTATGGATGATGTCATGGAAAAGTTGGATCTTCAAAGATACATTGGAAGAAAAGTTAAAGAGAAAATTGCAGATGGAAATTTACAATACCATCATCAACACTACTCTTCCATTAACCCTCAATTAACTCTACCTTTATATCCAACAAATGTTGAGAAAACCAAGCTCCAAACATTTTCGAGAATTCGCCTTGGTCATACAATTGCAAAACACCAATGGTTCTTAAAGAAGTCTTCCTCCCCAATCTGCAGTTGTGGACAAACTCTTACTATAAAGCACATTCTCTGCGACTGCCTTAACTTTTGCTTGGCTAGAAGTATTGCATTTGGAACGATTAACCCTTTGGACATTCTACAATCAGCTTCAGTACAAAATATCAATTGAATATATTACTTTAGTAATACTACTAAGTTGATTATCATTTTTTAAATTAGAGCCCATAGCCTGTGTTGCTAGTGCTCAATGTCTTTTTTTTAGTCTAAGAATTTACTTCATTAGTCTAAAATTATAATAACAATAATAATAATAGTAATAAATGGTACAGAATTTCAATACATTCAATTAAAATGAAATAGAATGATATTAATCTCTGAAAAATCTTATATGGGTCTCTTAATTTTTTTGAGGTCGCTGGCGCTTTTAAGTTTTTTGGAAGCAAGAGCGCATACAATCCAGAAAAATATCGTTCCATATATTTGTTGCGCATTGTTTGGTAATATGTGCGTACACTGCAAAGTGAAAAATGAGAAAAGTAAAGACGGAACTGGAGCTTCTATAGAAATGTTTCAGATAAAAGGTGAAATCACATAAAAAAAAACATTGTTTACAACTTCTTGTTGGAATGGAAAAAACAGAATAATAATATTCGACAAGGTTAAACCAATCGTTTTTGAAAGATGTTGAAAAATGGGAACACTGCAAGCTTCTTCGTAAAGCATCTCACATATAAAAAGCTCTGCGGCCCGGAACATAACCGGTACCAATTTGAATCGGAAAAAATACATTTAACCTATATTAATGTCTATATCAAGAGAAACACGTAGGATTTCGTAAAATCATTGATTTTCGTGTGGATCGCGGGCGTGTGTATTGAACTTAACACTGGAGTGCAGTGGAGTGGTGTAGGGAACAATAGCACCGAAAGCGATAGTGTTATATATAGCAAATGAAAACGAATATTATGTTGCACTTGGTCAAGAATGAAAGTCGTATAAAGATAAAATAGTTAATTGCCAGAAATTCTTTTATATATTTCAGAACTTACGGTTCAATAAATGATAGCGGTTTTTGCGATGTTCAGCGTTTGGACGACCACTGTTTAACATGGACTAAGATATTTGCCAACAAAATACTCTACTAGGCACAAATATAACATTCCTATATTTTTTCTAGTTCTTGCGTTATGTAATAATTTGCTAAGATTGTATTCTAGAAGACTCTCAGTTAAAATCTAACAAAATCTTTCTAAGACAAGGGAAGTTATAAAGAGTACCTGTGGTATGTAGATATATGAGCTATATCTCATTAACTTAGTCTATTCTTATTTCCAATCCAAACAACAGAACAAACAAAAGAACAATCTTGGTTAGAAAAGAAAATCGAAACAAAAGGGAAAATTGTTAAGGAAAATAGTTGAATTTATGAAAGATAAGTGCTATTAAATGATCATTCTAAATATAATACGGCCCATCATTTTACACAATGCTTTGCATATGGTGCCCAGAGCGCAAATCTATTACATTGGGGATGCTAAATGCGTAAAAATCAAATAAAACCAAGTAGAAAACGCCACATTAAAATTTGCTCACAACGCTACTCCACCGAAATGATTATCTTACCATACTTTATTAGTTTTAGATTAATAAAAACATTCTCATTACTACGCATGCACTGCACTGTAGTGATACTGTCTTTTTCTGTCCATTAGAGTAAGTCCTGATTTCAATCGTAACCCATATTAGATTCAATATTTTCAGTTTGCCAATTCTTAAATGTGGCCACTGGAAGATAAGTTGCCAATCACGAAAAAGAGTAGATCTATTGTTTTAAGAAACAATACGATTGTTAACTTCGTCAAGAAAACATACTAAAAAGCAACTTACCTAATACTCTTAAAGGAGACTTATTCATTCAAGCGGATGTCGATTCTTATATCGCAAGTGTTCATTTCCTTTTCAGCAAATTTGCGAATCTCTTTAATGGCTCGTCGTTCATGCATTGATTTGGCTAAAAGTATGGTGCACTCGCTTGTCTTTACTTTATTAATAGTTAGTTGGTTTCTTTGTTGATTTAGCAGAGAGAAAAACCAGCGGTTATTTTTTGTATTTTGAAAGCGACAAATAAATATAGACAAAAATTTATTTATTTTTTCTGCTTTTTCCCCAACACATAAATTATAGCAAAAAGAGAGATACGCGAATTGTACGGGAAGCAGAAAAAACGTTTATCATTTTATTATTTCGTCGGGAACGAAAGCTAAATTTTAGATATGTGGAATATGTAAACAAAACTAACAAGTATGAAAATTATATATGACCGAATCTGTAAAGAAATAAGAGTTTTACTGCAACAGAGTGTTGTAGTTGGCAGAATGTTGTAGTTGTATTTGGGTGGATTCTCTATGAAATCTTCCCAGGTAAGAGTACTTTTGGTAGGACGAGGTGGAAGTTGTTTTCCTACTCTGCTTGGCTTCATAAGCGCCAAGTCTATCCGTCTCTTAAGATGCCAATAAGTCTCGGCATGAGACGGTCCCTAACGTTCATGTTTCAGGCGGATTAAACGCCTTATATTTTATCAGCGAGTTAAACGCTTTGTTGTTTGAATTGCTTGATAACAATTAAAGTTCTTTATTTAAATTGGCACTATTTATACTTAATTCTACCAGGTGACATTATGCTAACGTAATCACTAATTAATTGGGCCGCCTCGCATCGTATTGTATTTCGTAATGCAATATTCAGCCAATTGAAGTGCGACAAAATTTTTGTTTTTCTCTTTGCTACAGAATTAAGCAAATTCACTCGCAATTCGCACTTCAAAGTGGATGCATATGATGGTATGCGATCACACTACAATACTTATTACCGTTATTGTAAAAAAAAAAGAAAAGTAAATTTCTATACTCTATAAAATTAGATAAAACGGCCGATTTTACAATTTTTTTTAGTATAAAAGTGGAAATTGTTATTGTATATCTTGTGTAATTTTTAAATAACATGTAAAAAACAGGGACAGCAAAGGTGTTCCCAACTTTTATTGCATAGGCGTGTTTCTTTGACCTTTTTGCAAATTTGTAGGCGATATCCTAATGTTTGCTAAGGGGCGGATGCTAGTCACCGATATACAGCATGGCGGATAGACAGATGGGCACACTAACATTTTTAAGTCGATTCCGAATTTAAAGCTGATCAAGAATGTATATTCTTGATCGTTTGCTGATAGGTACGTAAAGTTCCTTTCCAAAAAGCTAATTTTTCCGCTATGTCACGATGAGCAGCGAATATGGTCTAGCCAAGTGAAAATTTGGATAATAGAATTTTAAAGTTTTACGTTGAGTTGAAGATGCAATATCGTTTTTATTACTTTGCGTAGAAAATAGTAACGATTACCTCGCCTGGTTAGCAAGGAACTACGCCAGACAGCGAATCGTAAAAATAGGTGTTTTCGGAAATTTAAGGCTAGTGGTTTTTTGCTGATTTTTCATTCTATATTATTAAGAAAAATAAATTCATGGTAATGAGAAAGACATACTCCTTGTACTTGTAACGAATGAGTATTAAATTTGGGGAAATTCGAAAAATTTGTTAGGTTTTTCGTGACGGTAAGAGAAAATATAAGGGATATATGAACTTTCACGGCGAATTGACGCTATAGAAGTATCTAATATTTTTGTTTTAGCTTATTCCGAAAACAACTTGGCGCAATCAGAATGTAACTATCGTATTATTCTTAAAATACTATGTTTCTTTGACATATGTGTGATGAATAAATAAATGAAAAGCTTATTTGCTTACATACATATATTAATATGGTGTATGAAAAAATAAAATATAATCGGGCACCATTTAAGATAGAGCAGCGTGTTACGATTCTTCCTCATCGACTGCATACGGGCAACTGCTTCTGTTTCTTCCCTTTTGCTCTACAGCTTGACTACCCTGCATCAGAATCGCCCCCGATTCTGCCCCGCTTGTACTGCTCTGAACCGCTTACTTCATCTTCATCGACCATAGGAGTGAGAGAAGACCATGACTTCAACTGATCGAACGCGTATATGGAAGAAGACTTTCTAGATGTCCTGGCGAAATCGGGAATGTCTTCAAAAAC